AGTAGTAGTAGTAGTAGTAGTAGTAGTAGTAGTAGTAGTAGTAGTAGTAGTAGTAGTAGTAGTAGTAGTAGTTATTGTTATTGTTATTATTGATGGTGCATATCATTCAGCTTTTACCCATCATAAGATCAAAACAAGTCTTCTACCATGTCTGCCAGAATCTCTATAATTTGATTTTATTCCGCAGAAGATCGCACACATTTTATTTATAGGGTTCATAAAAATTCGTCTGGCTCTAAACATTTCGGCGGCCGGCATATAAGTGCCTTTGCCATCGCAAAAACTTGGGAAAGTCTCAAAGGCAGATACACGTTGCCGGCGGATACGAAAATAGATCTTTGTGATAAATGTAAAAACACACGGTAGAGCTCAGGTAAGTGAGGAACTCGGTGTGAAGAGGGGCAGGGAAAGGTGAGGTGGGGGGGGGGGCTCATTTTTTACCAAATGTTAGCTGACGTCAATTGTGAACCGTCCCTTACCGAGAAGCCAAGAATGTTTCTGGGTGTTCTGGGATTTCCTGGGGTATTAAAACCCGTCAACAAAAACAGACGGGACATGATCAGAAACAACAGGATCAGAGAAATGATGGGAACAACACCTGTCCTCCACTACATTCAGAGACAAACAATCAAGTGGTTTGGACATCTGACACGTATGGCACCTCACCATCTTGCCATTTAAGCGTACTACCAAAAAATATCAGGGTACAAGGGAATAAGAAGACAAAAGAAGACCTCAGGATACCCTGAAAACATACAACATTCCACCCGGCCAGGCCATCCAACTTGCAAGAGACAGAAAGCCCTTTCTGCCTTCGACATCCTAGAGGTACAAGAGGACAGATAAAGAAAGAAAAGTGGGAAAGAATAATAGTTATAAAGCGCATAAACAATGCATCACAGCGCGATATTAATACAATTATTGTTACTATTTGAATTATTGTTTACGCAAAACGAGTTCGCTACTTCCATTCAAAGCTTTTTATTGTCTCATCAAATCGTTATCTTAGAATTATAAATTCGTTCTGTTCAGTACCTAGTTTTGATAAATGTGACGTTTTAAAAATTTGAGTTTCACAACATGTCAAGCTTTTATTTAATGCAATTCTTTGCATGTCTTAATACTGACTCCGAATAATCCTACGATTTAATAGAGCCGATAGAACATTATTTCATTTTCTGACCTCATGGACTTATATGGTTACTCAAAACGGCCAAAAATGTCAGATAGAACTTGGTGATTCTAAAGTAGCGAAATCCCAAAAGGATTTTCTCCTAGACGGAAATATCAGTACGCTGTGGAAAGAAACCGGATATACAAAATAGAAGCCAAAGTTTATTACTTGGGGGAAATGGGTTGGAATAACAACCGACAACTTGACAACGCATCAAAAGTGACAAACAATCACTATCGTTTACTGTTCCTGATCTTTCGAACCGCTTTCCGTTTCTTTGTAACCCCCTCTTCCTTCCCTCCTCTCATCCCCCCCCCCCCCTTTTCCCCACCTCTCCCAATCCCTATATCAGTTCCGAACTCACGTATTATCATACACAGACTGCT